TAAGACTGAGCGATAATGCTAAATCTACAGCGCTTTAAAAACTGAACCAAGATCGATACAGGTCAATTCTTTCGCAAATGTTGGATCATGATCTATACCTGTTTTTTGGATGTGCCGACAGATTCTTCAGTAGATTCTTCTTGTTTTTTTTTGCCGTTGGATGAAAGATACTGCATAGACGGCCGGAGCTGAGCAACAGCATGAACAGGATTCAAGTGTAACTGCAAGTCAACAAGTCCAATTTAACAAGATATCCAGTCCACACTACACAACAATGTTATGAATCTTTCGAAAACGAGGAAAAAATACCTTATCACCTGAAAGAACCCCAACAGCATAATCCAAAGTAGGAGGCTGCTTCCATGTTGTTTTCAAGGTCTACCAAAAAGAACGAAAAACAAGAGAAATGAAGTTGCATCAAAAAGATTAAACTTGAATCAAGCTTAGAACTAAAACACTACCTGCTTAGTCATATTTAGTCCAAAATTGGAGTCATAGTTCTTCGAATGAACATCCATAGACAAGTCAATTTCCACTTGGGAGGTAGAAGTATTCACTCTAACCTTAAAGACACATAAACAAACAAAAAGATTAGAACCAAAACAAATGCAGGTTCATCACAATAAACAAAGGGAACACTTACTTCTTCGCATCGTTCATCCATTTCGTATGGACGCCAAGACGGTCTTAGAGGATATTGTAGAACATAAAGCTGTCACATTTGACAAACATACATTAATCAAAACTTCAAAAACGATAAGCAAAATCAAAATGTTGTTTGAATAATCTAATCCAATAGACCTTAGTATTAGCATCAAACGACGGATTAAAGAAAACATCGATTTCACGAACAACAACATCTTCTTCTTCTTCTTCTTCCTCCTGCAATGGAAGCTGCTCATCTTCCTCAATCAACTCAGTATCCATGAACTCTGGCTCTTTATCCACTTTTGAATCAATCTCCATTTTAACAGAGCCATTATAAACCTCAGTTTCAACCTTAGGACCAGCACCTTTAGCATCAACGTCATGCTCACTCTTGCTCACAGACTCAGTTTGTGATTGCGGCGGTTCCGGTTTAGGTTTCGGTTTAGACTTTCCGGCACGGCCAGGAGCGAATCTACGGGTTTTGGCAACCTCTTTTGGTTTGTCTTCATCATCAAAGTCCATATTTTTACTTCCTGTGACAGTGCAAATTAAGGTTTTTTTTCATTGACAATTCAACAAAACAATAGTCCAATCAAACCCAATACGTTAATCATAACAAAGTTCATGAGCCAAGATTAAAACTTGTCTAATCACTACAAAAAAAACCAATACTTTCGGAAATCTTTATCGATAATGAGCTGATAGAAACGGAGCTGCAGAAGAAAGAAAGAAAGAGGGCAAGAACCTGAAAATCAAAGTAGAGAGAGAGGAGAAATAGTCGGCTCCTCCGGGCAAAAGAAAACGTCGGCGAAGAAGATAGTGAAAACGAAAAAAAAAATGAAACCTTTACGGTTCGAACCAGAGATATGACTGAAAAACATAAAACATCAATTTTTCAACCGAGCTATTATACTTTTTAGGGTTTTCTTGAACAAAATAGTATTTAGTACTAAACTTTGTGTGCTCCTGATTGAATTATAAACTTCTTTAATATATAAAATGAGTTTTTTTTTTTTTATCTCAAAAATTTATTATATTCTACAGCAAATATTACATGAACCGGCAGGACTAAAACCTCCGGAAGTAAAGCCGAGAAAATGAAAATATCCCGGAAAAGCATACGCATATACCAAAAACTAAACCAACGTACGAAAGCAAAGGCCAAACATTCAAGCCCGAAAGTAAGTAACCACACTTCATCCACATGATTTTCTAATTTCTGGAAAGCCTAAACCAAACTGCAAGTCGGAAAAACAATTAACGACAAGCAAATCCTCCTATAGCGAATAAAAACTACCTCACAACCTATGCGCTCTTGAGCTTCTAATCCAGCAAGATGGATTCAGACAAAAATGTCTAGATCCTCACACTTCTCCCGGAAACGACGATGTCGAAAGAACCACGACTTTTAAACGTCTCGGTAGAAACCTTTAAATTGAGCAGATCTCGATCAGATCTTTTGAGTAGAGACAAGGAGCGATCATAAATCCAACCGGGTCACACCAAACTCACACAAGCACGGCAAGAGATCGAACCGGAGAGACACTAAGGCAAAATTCAGCACAAAGAAAAATACAGCGAAGCACGGTTACAACGAAGCCTAAACGAAGAAGACCCACTAAAGATATATTAAAAACTTGTGGCCTCACTATTATTGGGCTTTCTTCCATATATAAAATGAGTTTAGAAAGTTAAAATCTACATTAAATTCTAAAAATTAGTGTATTTAAAATATTTAAAAAATCATTATTAGAAATTACGTAAATATATATTATTAGATCAAATATGATAAATTTTTTTGTCACTTATAAATCTCTAATTGTATGTAGTAAGTTTATTTATTATTTTATTTTTATTTTTTAATTTTTTTTTTAGTAAGTTTATAATCAAGAATTAATACGATCAACTAAAAAATTTCATTATGAACTGAAAAATAAATTTTAATTTGTTGGGGGCTATTCACAAAACAAAACAAAAACAAATCTAAGTTTTGGTATTTAGTAGTTAACGCGTGTATTGGACTCTTCATTTTTTTTTTTCGAAAAGGGAGAGTTTAGTAAATAAATGATCAGTTTGGAACATAAAAGAATATCCAAATGTGTGTGAACGGGTTCTAAAAGTGATCCTGGCTTGGAATCAGATTATCAGAAATCATATACACAATCGTTATTGTCCCAAAATGTTATTCAAATTCAATCCTCAAAAAAAAAAAACACACATCACACTATCTTTACTTTCTACTAGTTATTAATTTAATTTTTGAATCACTTTATCGAGTAAGAATCATAAACAAATAAAGAAAGAGACTCATCGTGCTTCACTCTCTTTGAAGGTCCATCCGCACATGAATATAAGTCACGTAACTCACGTTATACAAAGCACGTCATTATCCAATCTCAAATCATAGCTACGAGACAGTTTTATATACAAATTAAAATTTATAGTTCTTTCTATCTACTCTCTTTTCCTAGTTATTTGATGTTTTGAGTTTTTTTACTCGTACCATCAAGATTGATGTTTTTACGAAGCATCAACGTTTTTGTCTGTGACCAATAGAGAAATGTGAGAAATAAAACTAATATTATTAAACTAACAAAATAATAATAAAAAAATGTAAAAGTTATTTTTTAAAAAAAATTGTGTGTAAAACTCAAAACATCATTATTTGAAGAGTATTGTTTTATATTTGTCTAAACGCAAACGAAATAAAATATTTATATTTGTATCTGGCATTTTGGGGTACGTTGTAAAAAAAAAAATGAAAACCTGAACTTTATATATATATATATATATATATATATATAATTCAGAAAAGTAATTCTTTCTTTAAAATATTATTCGCATGTAAATGCAAACATGTTTTGACTTTGAAACCGTCAAAACCTTAATCAAATTCTTACTATTTCTTTTTTTTTTTGCTAAGAATGTAAATATTTCATAAAAATGAAAACATATGAGGTTTACAATCAACTAGGGGAGGTCCCCGCGCCCAGCGCGGGGTTGTATGTTGATTAAGACCAGAATTAATAATTAATATTTAGGGTTATCAAGTTAGGGATATTTATTGAATTAATTTTGTTAGAAGTCTAATTTTTATAACGACATTAATATAGAATTATGGTAAAACGCTATAACTTTTGATATATATTATTAGTAATCAACAATTAATAGTGTTTTTGAATCACAAACAATAATTAGTGTTTATATCTTGATATATATAATAGAATTAAATATAAAAAATCTATATATTTAAACCAACAATATATTAGCAACGCCCCGACCGCCACTGTCCATGGGTTCCCACGTCCAGTCTCGGTCTTTAGGCCCATCTTCTTTGTTTTGTCGTACTCTTGATTTTATGACATATTCATGCTTACTCGTTTCTTTGATATTAGCAACGCCCCGACCGCCACTGTCCGTGGGCTCCCCACGTCCAGTTTCGGTCTTTAGGCCCATCTTCTTTGTTTTGTCGTACTCTTGATTTTATGACATATTCATGCTTACTCGTTTCTTTCATATTTGTAATGCCACGACCGCCACTGTCTGTGGGTTCCCACGTCCAGTTTCGTTCTTTGAGCACATCTTCTTGGTTTTGTAGTACTCTTGGTTTTATGACATATTCACGCTTCCTCGTTTCTTTCATATTTGTAACGCTCCGACCGCCACTGTCTGTGGGTTCCCCACGTCCAGTTTCGGACTTTAATTTGGGCCCATCTTCCTGGTTTTTGTTGTATTCTTGATTTTATGACATATTCATGCTTTTAGATTGTATGTCACTGGAGTTTTTCGTAGTTGGAAACATATAATTGAAAAATATAATCTCTTACCATATCTCTTACCTATCAAGTAAGTCATCTTGCTCTTTGAAGTAGTTATGTACGTAAAATTTCAATGGTATAGAAACAAGCATCTCCTTTGTATATATCGTGTCATATTTATCGTCCCTATTGTAGTATCTTTGTCTCTACCTTCGCCATTGGTCGCTGCGTAACCCTTCAGTTGATCTCTTGTTTATAAAACCCATATAAAAAGTTGTAAGAGAAATATCATTTTCTTAACTGTATCGTATATGTATTTGTAGTATATTGATCTGAGATTGCAAAGATGTATGCCTATCAAGAAGCTCTTAGCAAAGTAAACACTGAAGATAGGTACTAAAAATGAGAGGGTTACAGAGAGCAAGTATCTATCCCTTAGAAACCACTATGTGCAACTGAGAATAATTCATATATGTACATACATACATATGTATACAACGTATTGAAGCTTTTAAATTTAAATATCGAATGCTACAAAACTGGAAAATTGCTTGTGGAGAAAGCAATATGAACATGGCCACATATATAACAAATAACCGATTATGCTTGTCGTAGATCATTCTCTTTCAAACCAAAAGTTTTACCTAAACAACATATCAAGTGACTCACAAGAGATACATAAGAGCCATATCCTAAATATATCCGGCAAAGCAAAAACGCTCCAGGTTCGAGAAGGAAGTCATTGGAAAATTTGAGTATATACCAAACTGGAGAGTAATTCGGCTACAAAGAGAGATGTGTTGGCTTTGAAAAAAAAGCTATGTGATGCTCTACCTTTTATTTATGAATTTTATGCTATGAATATATGTTTTTGTTAGGGTTCAACTTCAGTCTCCGGATTAGAGACTTATATTCATCCGACAAACAATTCGATGTCACAATCAACGCTACAAAATTGGTGGGTTCTCTCTATTAACAAACAAAAAAAAATTCTGGGGTATATATATTTTTTTTGTTTTGTTAGATCCATACGACGAAGAACATGACGAAGAACACCAAAAATTCTCATCAATCCGGTACGTTTGATCTTATTTTTATTAGTTTAACAATTACGGTTATGTCCGAATCTGAAATAACCATGCCTCCAGACTCCTTCACACCATGGCCACATATCACCGGAGTGGAGACGATTTCAAATTCGGAGCTTCTCTTCGCATATAAAATCATACATATGGTCTCTTTGTTTCGGGTTCCCTCTACAATAATTAGTACATATTTCAAAACTGAGCTACAAAAGAGCACATTGGATTTTGGTAAACATCAAGATTGCTTCCTACCTTCCAAGAAACATGATAGACTAATTCACATCCAAGACCAAACATTAGCCACATAAAGCCTGAATCAAATTAAACGATCTTAGGATGCTCTTCATAATCCGTAAGTTAAAGAGACTTGCATTAATATTGCAAATTAGACTCTAGAGGTCCACAATGGTTAATCAGAGTGTATCAAAGACGACGAATAAAGCATGAATTAGAATATCAGCAGAGGAAGCACACAAATATTCAATAAACGTAATCAATCACTGAGAATAGCATGGACCCAACTTTTGAAAGATTCATAAAAAAGGAAGATTTTTCCTATGCAACAATATTCAAACAATGAGAAGATCAATGATTGATGACTAACCATACAACCGAAGCAAAGCCATAAACAGAAACGAAAGTACTAAAGAGCCACAACAGCAGTGATACGACATTTGTTTCCTCGCACTGGAAACAATGACGTGCTTCCATAAATCCAATCTAGTTTTTATGGAAAACAAACCTGCATTCATAATAAACACTACTATTAATTAATATTTTTTATGCAAGAATTAAATGGCAGTATAAAAAATTCAATGGTTAGTGCCAAAAAAAAAGCAAGGATTAGTTATG